CACTTCTGAGACTTTATTCCCTTTAATTTCTTTCTTAATTTCTTCAGTACTTATATCCACTGGAACTCCACTAATTACACCTCTACTCCTACGATTTTCCCCAGGAATATGACTTTTCACTCGCACTTCATTCAGTGTTTTCATTTTCAAAATCTTTTGCTGTTGTATTTTATTGACTGCTTCAATCAACATCTTGCCTTTACTCAAAAATCTAGCTTGTTTAATGTGACCAATTTCATCATGAATTGCCTTAGTAAGCTTTACCGGATGTAACTTGCTACTAGATTTTTCTCCAAACTCGATCACCACTTTCCATTGCTCTGTCGTATTGGCTTTTTTTACTTTTTTCAATTCATTCTGTATCTCTGCTTCACTGTGACTTGATTCAGAAGTCTTCTTCCTAGTTCTCTTTGAAGTAACCTCTTGCCACTCTTCTCGTTCGTCATCCGATTCACTTGCCATACTCTCTATATTTCCAGAAAGTTCTTCTCCTGTCCTTAAAGACGCCATAGTCTCCCGATCCCTCGTCCTCAGTCTCGAGCGTGACCTGTCGGCAGCCATCACTCACCGCCTCTTGCCGGCAGGAAACTCCTACCAAAACAGTAGCATTACCGCCACTTACTGGTATTAAGTGGTTCGCGATGAATATATATATATATATATATATATATATATATATATATATATATATATATATATATATATATATATATATTTCTACCGGTCTATACCAGAGTTGGTCCTCCATAGGATTCTATTCTTTAATACATTCAAACTCTCTCCTCAAATATCTTCTCTGGCTTTCATATTGATGACATTCCAGTATAAAAAGTTCTATTGTTTCATATTTTCCACAGTAATCACATTTTCCAGTAGTTTGCTTTTGAATTTTGAAAAGTGTTTAATTCAATCCTGTTTGCTGAAATCTTAACCTTGTTATCTTTCTCTCCTCCTTTCTATTTTGTCTTCCATTTCTTTTTTCCTACAATTTTCTGAGATTTATAAAATCACGTTCCTGTTTTTTCTTCATTCCACCTTTTTTGCTATTTTCCCATCAGTTTTCTTTAATAAAACTCTTTTCCTTAGGATTTACTTGTTTAACTGTAAAACTAATAGGATTTTGATTTGCCCTCTTTGCCATTTTATCTGCCCGCTCATCTTTAACATTTTTGGTGGTTGGCAAACAACAAATATCCACCATTATGGGGTGTGGACCAGAATGACTCAGAAATGAAATTCTATTTGCAAATGTTTTATTTATAGATATATCGAAATATTGTCCTGTAAATGTTACTTTCTGAAAAACTTCTAAATAATTCAAATAAATCTAATTTAACTTTTACTTTGCTTAAATTTAGTAATTAATTGCTGTCTCTCCTCATTAAGTACAGTAAAACATCACATGTTCAATTGATTCTGATTCATGTAGCCCACAGTTTTCAGATTTAGTAATCCTCTGTTTTCCCAAGATAAACAGATTATGTGGCGCCGTTTGTAAAGCGAAGCAGTCAAACATTAGGAGCCATATTTATGGTCATTTAGCGCGTTTTAAGCGAAAAATCAGGGCCTTATATTTTTCCAAGTAATTTTTCACTATGTCATTTATTTATTTATAAAAATCTTACTTTGTTAAATAAATATTTAGTTTGCAAATCAAATATTTAGTTTATTAAATATTTAGCTCAAAACTAAATATTTAGTTTGTTAAATAATTTAATTTGGATCTACATATTTATAAATAGATAAATATTCAGTTTGGAGCTAAATATTTATTTAACAAACTAAATATTTAATTTGCAAACTAATTTTTTATTTAACAAAGTAATTTTTTTTATAAATGAATGAATCAAATGGTGAAAAAAATGAAATGGAAAAAAACAAACCTGATTTTTCTCTTAAAACACGTTAAATAACCATAAATATTGCTAGTAATTTGTGATTGCTTAAATTCACAAAGTTTACGAGAACTGTTTAAGCCAGTCTATCCAAATCTCAATCGAGAAATAATTCTATTTAATTTATTTCTATAGCTCCAATTCACTTCATGTCATCTCAGGTCACTTTCCAGTTCACCAGATCATCCAGTCAGATTGATTCAAAGTTTTCTATCTAAGGAAAACCAGCTGATTGCATCGACTCATTTACTCTTCAGCAATCCCTCACACTAAGCATGCTTGTAGCGACAGTGGAGAGGAAAAACTCCCTTTGAACAGAAAGAAACCTCCAGCAGAACCAGGCTCAGTGTGAGCCTGGTTTCCAACTCCTGATTTAAAAACTTTGAAAATTGGAGATGAATATATCTGAAATCAAAGATGTTTTCCTTTTATTTTTTATTGTTTAGGTTGTATCATGTACTAAACAGACAACATAAAAAACAAAATACATGTTAGCAGTTTCAAAGAGCAAAAGAAAACATTTCTTATTCTCTAGGCATATTATTGTGTTCGTTTAATACTTATCCTGTTGATAAACAGGAAAATGTTAGGCAAAGAAAAAGCATCATAAAGCACATAATTAATAAACTAAATACACAGATAAAAAAAAAAACAGAGTTTAATGAAAAGATAAACATTAAGATTACATAGACGATCCATTTCAACATTGCGCTGGTTAGTTTTGGCTACAACTGAACACCAAATGCTTGCAACCGCAAAAACTGGAGTGAAAAACAAACGAGAAAACAGATTTTATTCACAGCTTTGAACAGAAAAAAAGCAACACCATCCATTTTCATTTGTGATTTTTGGCGTTTGCTGCCGTGCTGTAAGCTTCATGCTCGCTTGTTCTCCCTTATTGGTAATTAGCTCTAAACATGGCCGATCTACGCTGCAGGCAGCTGTATAAATAGGGTCAAACTGCTCTTTCTCTATGAACGCTTCACAAATACTGCTTATCTGACAAAATGCAACCAGCAGACAGAGAGAGATATACATGAGGGACGCAAGCAGATGCTCATCAGATCTATTGGCCAAATGGTCATGAGATTTAAGGCCATGTCAGTGTGATGGAGGCTCTGTTATCCTCAGGGATTTTTGCCCCTTTCTGACCTAATGTGACTAAAGCCACTAATATGATTTATGAAAGCAGGATTCAGAACCATCCAAACATTTCAAAGTCCGCCTCATTCCTTTTATCGTCAATTTTTTATGTGTTTTCCAAAATGAAATTCATGAACTTTTTCTCTAAGCTTTCTGAGTGGTTGACTTGTGGTTTTGGATTTTTCACACATTTTCAGGCCCATCATTAAATCTCAGCTCTAAATACAGAAACATTTCAGGAAACTACATCCCACAAATATTCAGTCTCCTGAAAGATTTGGATTTAGATAATATTTGGCTTTAAAGCTCAGGCAGGCTTCTCTTAGAAATGCAACAAAACAATATAAAATAACTAACAAATCAGAAATAAAAAAAGCAAAACTCAATATCATCAAAGATGAATTTATAAATCATTGTTCTCCAGCACTTTAACTGTTCTGATATTTGCTCAGCAGCTGTTATTTCAACGCCTTTAGTGAAGAACTCCAAGTCTTTGAGGTTGGATGACCTCTTTACCATCACCCAAATCTTTAGCTCCCTCAGGAGACGCAACCCTTCCTCTAGTCTGAAGCATAGGGGTCAAATTTAAAGGTCGCTTTAAACCTGAATCTGCCAGAGGAATTAATAATTTAGGGGCTGAATGAATCTCACGACAGAGCATTAGGGCCAGGCTAGAGATTTATTTTATTTTTTTATTTCAAGAATAAAGTCGTAAATTATGAGAATAAAGTCGTAACATTACGAGAATAAAGTTGGAGATAATTATCTCGTTATCAGGAGAAAACAGTTATTGATTTCTTGAGATAACGAGATGATTAACCTGGATTCCCAGTCCATCCATGCCTGCAGGGCCCCTAGTGGTTCAGTTGAGGTACCGCATGTGAACAAATAATCAGTTCTTTTGTTTCATTTTTCTTTTCACTCATTGTCAGGTGGTGGTGGATGATTGGATTGCATGGAGTACAGTAGAAACAAATCTGGACTCATTTTGGGGGTTAATGCATCCTGTTGCAGGCGTAACACCTGGGCTGTTCAGAAACACCTGGAGGCAAAGGGCTGATTGCTGATGAAGCAGAAGTGGAAGCAAATCATCAAAACAACAACAAAATTACACACAGACAGCCATGATGGAGGGGCACTTCCCCCTAGCTCCTATAACTATTGGGATACACTAACCTTACACATCAACGTGAAAAACCGCGTGCTAGTGAGAGAAAAAGGACTGGGCCTTATAATCCTCTCCCGCTGTCGTGGTATTAAAGGATGTAATCAGCTTTAACACAAACCAATCATCTCGTTATGACGAGAAAACGGCTTTCGTTATCTTTAGATATTGAGAAAAGGAACTTGTTGGAGGGACACGACCGTTTTGGGCTTCCGTGCAAGACTCCAAGTTTAAATAAATTAAAAAATGTAAGGGTTGGTGACTCAGCCTGGACATCACAGCTATAGTACAGATAAACATAGAACTATATTCATGCTTTTGGACTCAGATTTTGTCCCTGTTTCACAGAATCGACTTTAAGTCGGGAGCAAACTATTCAGCACTATTAAGAAAAGCACATCAGGCTGACAGAGCACAGGCTAAGCTAGTAGTGAAGTGCTGCACAGCAAACACAGAGAACATCCTCAGCAGTTCAAACCGCTACTAAAAGCAAAAGAGTGATGCTCCAGAGTCTCCGTTTGGGATAAAGTCCTGCAGCATCTCAGAGGCTGCTCCTCCACCATCAACCCATAAAGTGCCAAACTTTTCCTTCACAGTGGATCAGAGGTGGAAGCGGCCGTTAGGGACAGCGGCGAAGCCACTGCTGTGGGGCCATAAGAGACATTCCTGCTGGTGTGACGGATTCTTGGTTAGCAGCAAATATTTCACCATCAGGGTAACATTCACGTCATCCTTAGAATCACAGCAATAAAATATTACTGCTCATCAAGGTGAATCTATGAATAAAGTCTCACCTGCTGAAATTCTAGAATGTCAGCAAATGAACCTGGGATCACGATGCATCGCTTATAAAACCTTTTACTGCTTTAATGTGACCTAGTTCCACTAAAAACACTTAAAAATAATAGGTTTTTAATGTGAAAGAGTGCAGCGGATCTGCCAGGTTATAAGGAAACCTACATTTAGGGACACCTTAGACTTTGACTAGGCCATTCTGAGACTTTAGAAATCTTCTGAACTGATCTGGATGCAGAGTTAGACTCGGTTTGGCAACAAACTGACAGACAAGTTTAGAAGTTTTCAACTTCATCATCCTTTTTAGGCGGAAAAAACACAAACCTGTTCTTGGAAAGTCAAACAACCCCACAGCCTCCTGCTGCCACCACCGTGTTCTACACTGCAGGTCCCTTTAGTAATGATAGTTGTTTAATGGAAGAAAAGTCTGCGTCTTGTTTTAAACATAATCTAGCTGTTAGAGGAGGAGAAGAAGACAAAAAACTTACGGTACAAGCTTTGTGCTGCCACCTTCTGGAGCAAAGTTATTATTGTCACAAATATCTGAGCTCACCAGAGAGTCCTAACGAACCCCAAAAGGCAGGTTTAGCTAATATTTGAGTTATGTATCAGATCAGTAAATAAATAAATTTATTTTAAAAATAAAATCGTATTTATTTATAAATATAAAAATATCCTGACCCTTATTTTGGGATGATCCAGAATACTGTTTGTCATCTCAACAATGAGCTCTCTGGTTCTGACTCTGAAAACCCAAACAGGAGACAAACTGAAACTCTAAAGGCCTAAATATTGGAAAGCAGACTTCTAAAAGTATTAGTCTGAGGGTGTGTAAACTTTTAGTCCAGGATTTATGTCACAATAAAGCTAGAAGTTTTAAAAAGGATCAGCACCATCCTGTCATTTATTCAGGGGTGCGTTCACTGTCTGCCTGTGCTAACAGACTGGGAAACAAATGGTGCATTCAGGAACATTCTGACAAAGCAGTTAAAGCGGCTTGAAAGTTTGCAGATGAAGAGCGATGATTTGTCACCAACTCAGCTCTAAGAACCGAGAGCTTAAGGCACGCCAAACAGAAGAGCTTTGATGTCATATGTTGATTCATTTCCCACGCTTGATGAAGCTTAATGGTTTCTAATGACCTCAGTGACTCCTCCAGCTTAACACTCGTGTTCTCAGCCACTGCTACTCTTCTCCTCCATCTTCATCACAGCGATCTCATCTCCTCAGTCAGAGATGTGTGTCCTGCTCCTCTTCATCATCCTCAGTGGCTGCCTGGTTAACAAATGCCTGAAAAACAAAGAGAAGTCAAAGCTACTGATGTTAAACCTCTCTGTTTAGTTTAGTTCATTTACAAGTTTTATTTATTAAATACATTAAAACAAACTCCAAAAAA